CCAGACTTGCTAGGGTTTTGTTTTGTTTTATTTTGTTTAATTTTTGAGACAGAGTCTCACTGTGTAGCCTAGGCTAGCTTTGAACTCAGAGTGATCTTTCTGTCTCAGCCTCTCAGCTGCTGGGATTACAGATTGGATTACACCCAGTAAAACAGTTTTAAATTATACCATTTTTAGTACTTTGTTCTGTGCTCTTGCTTCTGTGGTTTCTTTAAGGAATTCCTATTTCTGCTAGATTTTCTTTGCTCATGTTTAGTTTTATTATTGTCTCTTCAATCTAATTTTACTCTCTTTATTGTTTCCTTCTTTAAAACTCTTTTTTATGTATGAGTGTTTTGCCTGCGTGTATGTAAGTGCATCTATGCCTGCAACACCTACGGAGACCAGAAGAGGGTCTCAGATCCTCCGGAATTGTAGTTAAAGAGGGTTGTTAGCCACCATTGGGTGCTAAGAACTGAACCCTGATCCTCTGCAAGAGCAGCCAGTGCTCTTAACTACTGAACCACTTCTCTAGCCTCTGTTCTTGCCTTTTGACCTTTAAAAATGTTCCTCACAAGGCATTGTGGTGTCCATCTATAATCTCAGCACTGAGAAGTGGAGGCAGGAGGCAGGAGTTTGAAACCAGCCTGGGATGACCTTGTCTTAAAAAATGAAGTACTAGGGATATAGTTGAGTTGTAAAGTGCTTGCCTAGAGTGTCCAAGACCATGGGTTTGATACCTAGTGCAGTAAGAAAAGGAAAATAAAAGACTACCTTTTGTGTTAATTCATCTTTGTATTCATGTTTGTATTTCCTAACATAATCTTATGTTATGAAATCCTTTTTAAAATGTCTAATTCTTGGGTTGGGGAAATGGTTCCATGGATAAAGTGCTTGTTACACATGTGTGAGGATCTGGGTTTAGATCCTCAGCACCCACATAAAAAGCTGGGCGTATTGGTGTATACCTGTAATCCCAGTGCTGGGGAGGCAGAGACACAAGGATCCCTAGGCCTTACTGATGAGCCAGGCTAGTCAGATTGGTGAGCTCCAGGTTCAGTAAGAGACCCTGTCTCAAAAAATAAGGTACAGAGCAATTGAGGAAGACACCCAGTGTCAACCTCTGCCCTCTATGCCTGTGCACACACAATCACATGCCCTTTCACATTTGTACACCCCCACAAACACACAAATATACAGACAGACATACAATCTAGTTCTTCCAGTGGTGTATTAACTAATTTGGGATATTTTTCTAATTTGGACTTATATTTATTGCTTCATATGGTTATAAATGTCATTTTGAGCTGGTAGGTTATGTGTTCATCTGTGTTTTGTTCGTGCCTTTTTGGCATGCAGTTGTTTTCTTAGAGGTATTTTATTCTTTATATGTAATCAATTTATTGTCTTTTCATATCAATCATTTTAAAATGAAATTTATTTTCCTAACATATAGAAGAGGGTATAATTGAGAGAACTTTTCTAATTATACAGGGGTCATTCTGCAATTTTTACAAAATGCTAAATAAAAGAGAAAGCCAGTCATATGATGCATGCCTCTAATCCCAGTGTTTGGGATGCTGAGGCAAGGAGATCTCTAGTTTGAGGCTACCCTGAGGTCCAGAGGTACCTTGTCCGAAAAGTAACAAGCAAGAAAAAGCAAAAGAAAAGCGTTTTTCTCTTATTTGGTTTCTGTGTTTCCTTCCTGAGATCTGGCTCCTCTTCTCCCATACTTTTTTCTGGCTAGTCTCTCTAGCTCTGTCTTTTTTTGTCTTCCCCTATTTTCATCAGTTTGAATTCTCTTCCCACAATTTCTTCTTACTAGGGTTTTGCCATGGATAAGTGATTGGGCTGGTTACTTTTAGGAAGTCTTAGTTCTAGATTACCCTTGCCTCTCAAGAATCTCAGAGGTTCTTATGTTCACCTGGTATTGGAGTCTGACGACTCCTTGTAGTTTCAGCAGCGTTTTGGAATTGGCTTGCTGTGCTTTCTAGCAAGTACCTACCAGCTAGGTTGGCTTTCCTGGTTTATTAGATGTACTGATGTTTTTCTCTGCTTTCTTACACATAAATGCCCATACAGTGACGTTTTACTGCTGTGATAGTTGTCCTTGGTGCTACCCATTGATTTTTGCATTGAAGAGTAGGGGAATTTGACAAGACTCAGTTCTCTCACCACTATCTTCTATTTTTTTTTTTTTTAAACTATGCTGCCCTGAACCTTTGACCAGCTTTTCCCCTACCATGTTGTAAAGTATGGATTATTTTCTCATTATTCATCAAAAACAAGTCATAGTATGATACTATGTCACAGAAATATGTTATTTATTGTACTATAATACTCAAATAGTGTTTATGTTTAGGTGAATGATTCAATGTGCTGTGCTAATAGTGCTGAAATGAACCTTGAGACTCTTCTCGTAGCTAGCTTCATTTTCAGGTCTGGCAGTAACAGTAATGGTGCTGTCTCTGTGTTTAGCATGCTTCATGATGACCCAAGCAGAAGGATCCCTGCTGAAATGGCGCTGTGCAGCCCGTTCTTTAGCATTCCCTTTGGTAAGCTAAGTATGTCTTTGCATTTTTCTTCTGGTCATTGGATAATCTTGTACTCTCAAGCTCCTTTGTTTGACATCGTTATAGTTTATTTGGTGGATTTATATTTAACCATATGGTAATATATAGTAATGAACTCTAACAGCTCCTCACATTGAAGATCTGGTGATGCTTCCTACTCCAGTGCTAAGACTCCTGAATGTGCTGGATGATGACTATCTGGAAAATGAAGAAGAATATGAAGGTCAGTGCTTCCTAAATTATATTTTAGTGCTTCTTTCTTATAGACACCAAATATGGCTAATGTCTATGGGATCAACATCCGTAAGATTCTTCTTTTGTTTTTCCTAAATGTATATGAGAAAATTTAACAAGACCATTGAATTCTATGATCTTTAAAATACTCTCATTTTTTGATTGATAAAGTCTTTTTGACTCTTTTACACTTCAGTTTTACCAAATTAACAAAGGTTAATTTCTGCAGTAAGTTCTGTCTCTGGTCTCTCTTTTCTGGCCCCTCTCTGTGCTTTCATTTCTCCTTTTAACTTTCTTGCTTTTAGCAACTCTCTCATTCAGGCCATACTTATTGTATCATTATGGAATTATTTCTTGTTTTTAATATAGGGGAGACACAGATGATAACAGAGAGAGGGGCACTAAACCTAACCTGAGTGGTCAGTGAGGGCTTCCATCTGAGCTCGGTAGTGAGAGTTGTCGAGCAGTCGAGTGGGTAGAGAGGAAGCAGCACCAAGACAGGCAGCACGGCATGCTCAGAGAGCCGCAGTTGGGTATGATTGTTTCTTCTTTTTTTTTTTTTTTTTTCGTAAAGGGGGTCATGTAGCCCAGGCTGCCCTCCAACTTGCTATGTTAACTGACTGAACTTTTCCGATCCTCTTGCCTCCTATCTCCTGAATGCTGGGATTACAGGCATGCATCACCACACCCAGTTTATGTGGTACTGGGGATCAAACTTAAAGCTTTGTTGCCTTCTAGGTGAGCACTCTATCAAATGAGTTGCATCCCAGTCCATAGTTGAGAACACTGAACTCACTGTAGACAAGGCTGGCCTTGAACTCTTGAACTCACAGAGATCCATTGAGAAATGCTCAAGCTAAATGAGATTCATGCAATATTGTTTATAATATCAAGAAGCTTTGAAATAGTTTAAGTAGTCATTAACTCAATTCTTGAACAGTCATATAGTAAACAGTACATTAAAAATACACAGCTGGGGCTAGAGAGGTGGCTGCTCTTGCAGAGAACCTGGGTTTGGTTCTAAGCACCCATATGGTAGCTCACAACATCCCTAGGCTAAATGAGATTCATGCAATATTGTTTATAATATCAAGAAGCTTTGAAATAGTTTAAGTAGTCATTAACTCAATTCTTGAACAGTCATATAGTAAACAGTACATTAAAAATACACAGCTGGGGCTAGAGAGGTGGCTGCTCTTGCAGAGAACCTGGGTTTGGTTCTAAGCACCCATATGGTAGCTCACAACATCCCTAGCTCCAGTTCCAGGGAATCCAGTGCCCTCTCTTCTAGCCTCTGTAGGTACTGTATGTCTGTGACGTACTTAAACATGCAGGAAAAACACTTCTACATATAAAATAAAAATAAGTAAATAAAAAGTATACATCCATTAAAAACAAATGAGAAGATTTAATTACATAGTATGGAGAACTCACAAAGACAGTTAATAAAGAAATAGCAAGATTGAAATTCTCACTTAAAAAATATATTTTTTTGTATAAGTTGATAATACTTACGGCAGGATCAGAAAAAACTTGATGATGCTGGTTGCTTTCAAGAGGGGGAACAGCATGACAGTTGGGAATTTTTAAAGTATTTGACTATACTATTTAAAACATTAAGTTATTAAAGGAAATGTTTGATGCATTGAATTTATTCCTAAGTTTTACTTGAAAAAATAAGGAAAATGAGTTCATTATATAGGTCTGATCCCTGAATTCTTTGATGATTTAAAATTTCTCAAATAATGAATTCCTGTTAAGTGGCTGCTATTGTGTGTTTTCGTAACCAGATGTTGTAGAGGATGTGAAAGAGGAGTGTCAGAAATATGGACCAGTAGTTTCTCTGCTTGTTCCGAAGGAGAATCCTGGCAGGGGACAAGTAAGTGAATTTAACTTGTCAGGATTATTACAGTGTTGTATTAAATATGTCCTGTGGGAAGGTGTGGACAAAATTTTCTCATTGTAGGTGATTATTACTTTCTTGTGCATTTTATTTTTTTCTGAAAATTCTCTAATATGCTCTTGTAGTCACTTAAACTTTGTTTTGTTTTTTTTTAATAAAAAAGTTAATCTACTTTTGAGCCATTGTAAACAGTGCCACCAACTGAATTGTATATTTCAGTTAGGTTCAATTATAGAAATATTTGATCCAGTTTTGTTTTAATTAGGTAGAGTTAGAAAACCAGTTGGTCTGGGTTATGATGGTGGTAGAAATTACCAGTGATAATTTAAAGAAGGAATGCTTGCTGAACTGAGACTTGTGATGCCTGAATTTTGTCTCTGGCTAGCTTTTGATGATCCTCACTTTCTTCATCTAAAAGCTGTATGGGTGAAAACTAGAATCATAGCATTTTTATTAGAAACTGCCATTTTGAATTAAATTCTATAACAAAGAAGGTAAGAGCATTTTATCTGTAGTATTTTTACCTTTGGAGAAATAAGATATTGTTTTATCACAGTTCAGGTTTCTCAGTCTTCTCACTGTTAATATGTGAGCCTCAGTCCTCTTCATTAGGGAGCTGTCCTGTATGTTTTAAGAGTGTTGAATAGCATCCCAGCCTCTGCCCCATGGATGTCCTTCTTATACCGTCCAGTGTCCATCAAAGTGGTGTGATCACTTCTGATTGTGCATTTTAGCACCACGCTTTAACCAACTGAGCTAACTGATCAGACTGTTGGCACCGTTTTTTGTTCTTTTTTGGGATGGGACTGGTACTCAAAATCCTCATGCTTTGGCCTCCTGAGTAAGAGGATTACAAAAATGTGCCACCACACCTGCCAGTTGTGGATTATTATTTTATCAGTATTACAAAACATGTGGGTAACTTAAAAAAAGGTGAAATTCTAGTCTTCATGAACAACTGTGGGCACTCTACTAGTGATAACATTACCTCATTCATTGTCAGGGGCATGCTGAATCTATCCTTGAGGTTTTGTCTTACAGCCACTATTTATTAAGCTTATATTATGTTCTAAGCACTTGGCATACACAAGTGATCAAAACAGACAAAACTGGTGATGTGTGTGAGGGAGAAAAATAGATTGAAGTGGCTTAGGGAGTGCTAGTGTAAGGTAGGTTGCCCTGTTGAGTAAGGTGGTAGGAAAGGGCATATGGGGAAGGTTACATCTGAGACAAGATGAGAAGGAAGTAAGGAAGAGAATTCAAACAAAAAGAACAGCAGATTCTAAGTCCTTTAGTATTCTGGGCAGATTCAGGAAGGTCATTTGGCTGTATCAGAGTGAGAACCAGAATGGGAGAGGAGATGACTAGGAGATTGGGGACTTAGAGGAGCAGAGCAGGAAGATGGAACCTCATAGGGCACTGAGGTAGTGTTGGCTCTCACACTTAAGAAGGGACTGGAAAATTTTGAATGATGGATTCATGTCATTGGAGTCAATATTAAAGACAGTGGTCAAGTGAGATGGACATAGAAGAGAGAAACAGGAGATAGTCTCAGGCAGGAAGCAGCCAGTTCAGAGATGATATGGAAGAAAGTATTAGTGAGATGCTTAATATTTTGAGAAGTTTTTTGTTATCTGTTACTTAGTTGATAAAGCCGGTTTTCATTAGAAAAAAAAAATTTATTACATTTTTATTATTGGGGGGTGGATAGGTAAATAGGTCTGTTCTCTCCTTCCACCTGGCTTGGTGGCAAGTGCATTTACTCACTGAGCCATCTTACCAACCCCATTTAAAATTTTCAAATAAAGAAAAGCATGAGATTTTAAAGGGATATTAAGGAAGGAAAACCTACTTGGGGTTGAGGATCACTTGTCTAGCTCTGGGTTTGATCCAAGCATCACAAAAGAGCCCTGGAAAAATAAACGACAGGTACATTTACACAGATTACAAAAGTAACTAAAATGACATAACTGATGTAATTATTTGATTCCACAATCAATTATAAAATAAGATACTTTTATTTACTTAGTGTGAAGTAATACAGTGTCAAGCTTCAGGCCAATGCATGTTTGTATATTTTTTGAACTTTGGTGTATGCATTTGAGATTAATTAATAATCAGATAAAAAGTCAGAAATAGGTTCATTCTCACTGGACATCATATTTTAATTTTGCTTTTGTATTTAATGAAAAAGTATATATTGCTGAAAGCCACCTGCAGCCAACATGGATTTTTGATTTTGTAACAAGAGATATAAAGTATCTGTAAGAGGAAATAAACAATGCATTGAATTATATATTTTTTTGGTGACATAGTTGAAAAATATGAATTCGTAACTATCTTATGAAATACACCTACTCTAACAAAAACTGCGTATAGTTTATCAGTAGCATTTTTCCCATGCAATTACATTTAAACTTGACAGGATACTATTTGGGCCATTTCTAAGTGCTTTTACTTACATTTAATGAGACATTTTAGAGATCAAGTTCAAGAACAGCTGACAGATACCACTTATCTTTATCGATTTGTTTCTTTTATCATTTCTATGTATGCATGTGTGTACGCGCATATTTGCATGTGTAGGCGCAAGTGTGCGTGCATGTGGAGACCCGGTGTTGATGTTGGGAATCATCCTCCATTGCTCTTCCACCTTGTTCACAGAGGCAGGGTCTCTGAGTCAAACCCATAGCTGGCCAGTATGGCTAGTCTCACTATCCAGCTGCTCTGAGGATCCTCTGTCTCTGCTTTCTGAGGCCACCACACCTACTTGGCATTTTATGTGGGTGTTAGGATTGGAATTCTAGCCTCACATTGTATGGCAAGTGCTTTAACCACTAAGACATCTCCCCTGCCTCCACTCACCTTTATATATGTAAAAAGGCATTTTTTGTTAAATATTAGAAACTCTCTGCTTTGTCTCTAAGACTAATGCATAACTTATGGGGCTGGAGAGATGATTTAGTGGTTAAGAGAACTGACTGTTCTTCCAGAGGTCCCAGGTTCAGTTCTTAGCACTCACATGGCAACTAATGGCCGTCTGTAGCTCCAGTTCCAGGGGTTCCAATGTCTTCTTCTGACCTCTGCGAGCATTGCATAATATGGGTGCACTTACATACATGCAGACAATACACTCATACACATAAAATTTAAAAATTAAAAAAAATTTTTTAAAACAATAATGCATAACTTAAAAAGTCATGGTATATATTGGGGCTGAAGAGATGGCTCAGCAGTTAAGAGCACTGACTCCTCTTGCAGAGGACCTGGGTTTGATTCCCAGCGCCCACCCATATGGCGACTATGAACATCCTTAACTCTAGTTCCAGGGGAATCTGAAGCCCTCTTCTGACCTCTGCTGCATTGCATGACATGGGTGCACTCACATACATGCAGGCAATACACTCATACACATTAAAATTAAAAAAAAAAAGTCATGATATAGAAGGAGCCAAATTAGTTTCTCCATTTTTCAGTATATATGAACTCAGAAAATTTCATCACAGGCCAAAATACCTTAGGTCTTATATTATATGACATGCTTAATAGAATGTTGGCGTAAGATGGAGTGACCAGTCCTAGGAAGGTCATGGGGCTTTGTTTATTAATGAAGGGCGATTCCATTTTTTTAAGAAAGTACTGGGGCCTGGGGAGATGGCTCATGTACGAAAATGCTTCCTGTATAAGCATGAAGATCAAGTTCGGATCCCCAGTGCCTGTGTAAAGAGCCAGGTGTGGTGTCATGTACCTATAATCCCAGTGCTGAGGAGTTGGAGATGTTAAATCCCTGGGGCTGGCCAGTCTAGCTATTCAGTGAACTCTGGGCTTGGTGAGAGCTTTCTTAAAAAGAAGGTGAAGAAGTGATCGAGGAAGACACCTGACATTGACTTCTGGCCTCTCTGTGTACACACACATGCATACCTGTGTGTACACATGCAGACAAAAAAAAGGATTGTGTATTAGGAATTCTTTTCATGCCTTGAAATATTTATACCCTGTGGAAATAACTTTTTTCCAAGTGAGAGGTGTTTCTATGAAAAGTGAAATGAACTGATAACTTGCCTACATTTATAGGTAGATTGATGTTAGGAAAACAGACAAATGAAAGCTGAGTTATAGAGGTGGTATGGTGGCACCTGCCTCTATCACAACATTTGGGAGGTAGAGGCAAGAGAATCAGAAGTTCAAAGTCATCCTCCACTGCATAAGAAGTTTGAAGCCAGCTTGGGTGATAGGAAACTGTGTCTCAAACAACATCAAATTCTGAATACCTGAAAGTTGAGGATCCAAAAGTTGAATTCCTTAAGATGATCTCTTTTCACATTCCATTCAGAAGTCTCTAAAGGCTCTAGCTCAGTTTGAATACTTGACATAATGAATGAGGTGTACAGTGAGGAGAGAGGGCAGTTCTTTCATTCAGCAGTTTGCAGGGTATCTGTGGACAAGTCATTCCATATCATTCCCCTTCCCTGACCTTTAGTTTGGGGTCAGCAAAAAGAACTTAACATTATCGTGTTCCATTTCTACCTTTGGGAGGCATTCAGATGCTCTGGAAAAGGAAATCCAACTTGAATTTCTTTATTATGGTTATGGTGTATAGTTTCTACAAATCTTTGAATAGGTATAATTTCCAGTGGCTTTTCTGATATTTTTCCCTTCATTTATTTCTGAAAGTGTATAGCCTTCTTTGGGGCAGTGTTGCAGCTGCTCCCTGGGCTCTCTGCCCTCACCTGACAGTGTCCCACATAACTTCTGTGAACTTGGCAGAAAGTTGTGTGCTCTTCCACCTGACTTGCTTTTGATGGGGCTTATGAATTTGATAAGTTGGGCTGAGTTCTAAGGAAGTATTTTTAAGTCTCAGGCTATAAAGTGTAGTCGGTGAATTAGCAGCATTGCCCTCAGACTGTTAAGAAATTGCAGCAAGGTGGTTGGTAGAGGCACTTGTGCAGAGGCCTGATGACCCATGCTCAACTCTCGAATCCCACAAGGTGGCAAGAGAGGACAAACTCTTGAGAGTTTTCCTCTGACTACCACATGAGCACGAACACACACACACACACACACACACACAATTTTAAAAAGAAATGCAGACACTCAAGCCATACCTTGGACTGACAGAAGCAAAATCTGCATTTTAATAAAATCCCCAAGTGCTACACAGTCATGCATCACTTAATGACAGGATAGGTTATAAAAAGTGTGCCACTATGTGATTTTCTAGCTCTGCAAACTGATACATTATATCCTCAGCTTCAGGGCAAGCCTATAAAACACCTCAGCTAGTAGGTACAGACCTATATATAGATTGTTACTGTACTGATTATTTTAGGCAGTTGTGTTACAGTGGTAATCACTGATATATCTGACTTAGCTAAACATCAAAATTATTAAGCAACACTAAGTTTGCAACTTCTTTAGAGTCTTATAGGACCAGTGTCTTATATGGGCCTTCATTGATTGACACATTGTTAAGCAGCATGTAACTGGACATACATTAAAGTTGGTAAAGCACTAATCTAAAATCAGCATGGTGGACATGAAATGACTTTGTTTTCTCTAACCTCTTTCAGGTCTTTGTTGAATATGCAAATGCAGGTGATTCCAAAGCTGCTCAGAAATTGCTGACTGGAAGGATGTTTGATGGAAAGTTTGTTGTGGCTACATTCTACCCGCTGAGTGCCTACAAGAGGGGATACCTGTATCAAACCTTGCTTTAATCAGTAACCTAAGGACTATTTCCTGTTTCTCCTCTTCCATTTCTTGGATTATTATATTCCACAGCTGAATGCAGGAGCACCCCTTTACCCATTTGAAGGGGTACCTTGTACATTTATTTAATCTTACTAATGTGCAGCCATTGACCACAGTGACTGCATTGCAAACATTGGCACTGAGTAGGAAAAGACTTCTCAGCTATACATTGAGGGGTTTTAGAGCATCCATGTGGGCACCCTTTTTTTGTTCTGTAGGGCAGGTGCTGCTCTTAGTATGTAACCTAAAAAGATATTATTTCCTGTGATGATGAAGCAAAGATGAATAATATGTCATAGTGAATATTATTAACAAATTTATTAGGGTTGGTGACATCACTTACAGATTATTCATTTGTCTTGTCAGGTGGTTTTCATTGTTGATATCCTAGCTGGCACTGGATGCTCTAATAATGCTAAGTATTTGTCAGGCAGCAGTTACCTACCGTGTTCTTAACAATGAGTTGTGAACTTTTTAAAAGGAGTACTGTAGGACTTAATATTCCTTTAAAGAAACTGCAGTGAGCCTATCAATGTTTTTTTTTTAATTATTATTATTAAGGCTTTTAAAATAGAAAGCTGATGCTTGATCTTGCACAACTTTTATGTCTAGTATGTATGTTGAGTGAGTGTGTAGGTATGAAAGAGTAGAGACCATTTGAGTCAGTGTACTTTATAGTATGATTCTTGTGAGCTAACGCAGTCTGTGTCCATTTCTTCCCTACCTGTTTCATACCTGTAAGACTTAGGTTAGAGGTGGGGGGTTTTTTGTTTATTTGTTTGGTTTTTTTGCGAGTTGGTCTGACTGATAAAATGTAAACGACAAAGCAGTTCATTCTTGAGAGGCTCAGAACAAACTGGAGTCTAGTCCATGGTTACATTGAAGCTCTTCAAGTGACCGGAATTACATTGAAGCTCTTCAAGTGACCAGAACAAAGCTTTGGTACATGTAAATTGCCCCATTCTTCAGTCTGCTTTAGACCCCAGATTGGCTCATCTCTTTTGTACTGAATCCTCTATTATTGTGAAATTCTCTCTCAAGAGAATCACTTAAGATCTGATTCTCTCTACTATGATGGAAAGTTGAAGTGGATCAGAAAAAAAAAAAAAAAAAAAGATGTACAGTGAAAGGACAAGAAGGTAGATAATCTAAGGATCCTTTTTCTCCCTCTGTCTTATCCACTGCCCTGCCAGCCTCATCATCTCCTCCTCCCATTCTCTGTTCTTAACTAGAGGAATAGAAGCCCAAGTAGTCTGGCTTTTGACTAAGGAAGTAAAGACAGACTTAGGTGTGGTAAAGTGGAAGTTAGAAAGGAAGAAAAGAAAAATTCATTCCTAAAAGGATCTGTAGCAATCTGACGTGTCCTTGTGGGCACAGACTGACTGGTTTTAAGGGTTGTGAGTGTGGATTCTTCTCACTTTGTAATAGATGGCCTTAAAGGTGTAAAACTTAAGAAAACTTTGTAAAGCACTGATCATGCAAAAAATCCACAGATTGTACACAGGTTAGGATTTTTTCCTATTTCTTTACCTGAATGAAAATTTTATTTATTTTTCCTTAGGAAAGAGTTTTGTTTTCATGCTGGCAGCCTGCTTACATGATTTTCTGTTGTCCATGCTGTACAGGTTCCTGAAAGAATTTGCATTTTAGATCATTAATTGGTTTACTCTGCTCAAACACTCACTGTCTGACACTTGTTATTATAATCAACTTAATATTTATCATGAAGCCAAATTTGGTATAAGGAGACTGATGGATTACTAAAGGGTCTTGTATCATGGTCCCCAATATGTGCCCTTTAGAAAGAAGAATTACTATGTTCATTTCGACTCTTTCAGGGGTTGATTGGGTGGTTGGTTTTCAAGTCACAGTTGAAGAGAGCAGAACTAGTAAAGCTTTCCTAAACGTAAATATTTACATGCATAGCTGCTTCTGTGGTCATTAGAAACAGGCCCTTACATCCCTACTGATGAACACAGGGTACAAATGAATTCTTTTTAAGGGCAAGTGTGGTTAACACATGTACCTCTTCCCCATCTCTTAAAAAAGAGAGATCCTTGCAAATAAACTGCAGATAGGCTTCCCAGCTTCGTCATGCAGTATGCTGCTAACCTTGATGCTGGACTTCAGCATTCTTTGATCTTCATCTTATTGTGGATGTAGTCATTCATATATGTAGTGTTTAACACTGTAGAGTTTTACTATAGAAGATGCTAACTAGGTTTTAAGGGAACTAAGGAAATAATTGATGAGCCTAAGTAACCATACATTGAAACAGATGTTTTATATTAAAGCCACAGAACTGGAAAAAAAAGATATTTACTATAATTTAATCCACCATTTTATAGCTCTTAATCCATTCTACCAAAGAGGATATTTGTAGATTCTCCCTCTCTGATCTTATGAGAAAGTTCAATACCTTCTTTAAACTGGAACCAAATATTACAAAAGATGTACTTTTCGCCATTCTTTTGTGATAAATATGTGCACAGGAATTTTGCACATATCTTTGAAGTTACAGAAAACCTAGACATTATCTTCCTTAAAGGGTAAAGAGGTGAAGGTTCGTGTCACTTAGCCCCTATCTCTGGGGGAGTTTATATCTCAGGTAGCTTTTCTTTCCCTAAATTAATATCTGTGCTTCCTTCCCTCTCACCTTCCCTGCTTCTTCCTTTTTCCATGGTACTGCTTTGGCACATTTTGCCCCACAAAAGGCATGGAAAAAGATTGTTCCCTGGGAAATGTTGGGTTCTTCAAAAACATTTGAAAGAGGTGACTAGTAGGCACTATTAAAACTCTAATGCTGGGTTTGAAGGAGAGTAATAGAGTTGGACACCTCAGGAGGGGAGGTGTTAGCTGCACTTGTTACCACTGGATATCTTCCTTATTTTGTGGCTGTCAACATAGCCGCTCTCTTCAGGAAATTCCCCTTTGTGCATTCCTCGAGCCAGAATTGTGGATGCTTGCAGAATACAAGTGACTGGTAGAGTTTTACTCATCCATCTCTTTGTTTTAATTGAGAGATGTGTGGCCTTCTCTTTGATTCTGTGGCTGCTAAACAGTGCTGAGCTCTGTTAACCTGCCAGCAGCAGTGCCACCATCTAAAAGGTGCAAAAAAGCTGGCATGGGCTTCTTTGTCTTGTCACACTGGATTCCCCTCCAGGAAGGGCATCAAGTAGGGAATAACTCGAGAGACAGCCCTCATCACATGCTGTTTCATGGCTCTTAGAGTTCGTTGATGAAATGCACGTGCCTGACATTTTGGCTTTTTTTTTTTTTTTTTTTTTTTAGTTCTCACTTGACTTATGCCTATCGTATATAGTTTTTACCATCAATTATATGTGGCAGCATGGCATTTTATTTTTTAATAATTAATGAAAATCTGTACCATCGTACCTGATGGTGATTAGAACAACCTGGGTACTGGTTGAGGGAGTCAGGGCAACTCTTAGTAACCACATTTTACCCAAATTCTTATGCAAGGGCACATGCTAGGTGGTTTTAATCAGATCAGAGTACAGATGGAACCACATCAAGACTTTTAATCTGGTGAATAAGTAGCTAGCTCAAGTTTTGAGCAAGTGCCTGGTGTTTCCTGGAAAATAATAAAACTCACCTGAGTGAAAGCTTCCCAGGTAATGATTGCTTTTTTCTTGGAATAACTTGGATTGAGTCGCTTGATACAAAGGTTCAGAATGTCCTTGCAGTACCTTTTTGAAAAATATGTGTAAAACTATTCGTACTTGATGTTATTCCAATATTGCATGTTGATGGAAAGGCCAGTTATCTGATAAATCAAATTCTTCTCAGATCTATTTCCACTTGTCAGGTTCCATCATCAAATCTTATTATTCCAGCTCTCTATTTCTTATTTTACATGGTCATATACAGACCAGTTCTTGGTTATAGTTCAAAAGAATTCTCATTTCTTCTTAAGGTGCTTAATAATTTGCCTTTATTTTGCAATGATAGTCTTTCAAGTTGTAGCTAAATCTTGAGTCTCTATCATATAGAGCTTGTCTGAGTATGTTTAGATTTTATATTCTTAACCACAGAGAAACACAGATATTTTAGTTATTAGAGTGCCCCAAATTTGAAAGGCTTAATTTTAAGTTAGTTTCTTTACCTGATATCATGGGATATATTATGGTTTTTATCCTAGCCACATCCCCCTGATGGTTTTCACTACATTTAAAATTGTGTGGTGACCAACAGCTTTGTACCTGGTATGCAATTGAGAGGTACTGGGTAGTTAAGAAGGTAAATAGTTTAAACTATTTTTGCTGTGATTTTTATAGGAGAAATGAGCTGCCAATGAAATATATGTAAGCTAGAGAACATTCAGGAAAAGAAGGTTTTTGAGATAGGGTTTCTCTGTGTAGCCTAGACTGGTCTCCAACTCAGGTTTTTCCTGCCTCAGCCTCCTGAGTGCTAGTATCATAAGTATGTGCCACCATGCCCAGCTCTTTTAGAGGGTTTTATATTTTACAGATGGTCATTAAGATTTTCAGGATGTAAGACAAACACACAAAGTTTATACAGATTTTGCTGTCCTGATAAAAAGTTTATTTTCCTGTAGCCCAGCACTTTTCTTCCTTGTAGTGCTTAGGAGAATTGTTGCTTTAAATTTGCTTTATTTGTGCCTTTCAAAGAGTTCTCATAATCACGGTGGTTGTGTTTGTTGGCACTGTTATGAATGCTGGCCATCATGGGAAACTTCCCAAATGAGGATGGCTGCCCATTAAATTGGCTGGCTGGCTGTCATAGTAACAAGAGGAAAAGCTGGTGGCTCTTTTAGAAGGCCATGTATATTTTGTGAACTGAGTTCATGTATTTTAATGTGAAGGCAAAGAGAAGCATTCTTATTTGCCTGACATGGCCATTCATCTCTGTCATGCAGAAGACAGCTGACTTTGCTGTACTACCCTGTATAATGAAAATAAGTTATATTCTGAGAAAACAGCTAGAATTGTTTGTGCTTTTTTGTTGATTTTTTTTTTTCTTTTTGAGAAACTCTTATGTAAACACCAGAGCTACTGCTACCTTTAGCTACTGATTATCAGTGAGGATTGTTGCTAGTCACTTTTAAAATCCGAGCTGGAATTGCTTTCCTCTTCTCTGTCATCCCCTCTTAATAATGTAAATGATACCAGGACTGCATAAAAGCAACATGCAAATGTGTTAACTCAATCTCTTCAGTTATTTGAATTATCTTTGGAGTATTATTTTTATTAGGGTGGGTTATCCAAAGACTATCACATTTAAGGATGAGGAAGAGAAAGATTTAATAAGAATAGAGAGAAGGGGGAAGAACACATCCCCCTTACTGACATTAATAATCTTCCCGTGTTCACAGTCTAAAGATGACATTGGTTTTTTTAAATCCACACTTGGTACCTGTAGTATACAAGCATTGCCTTTCTTAACATTCCCCGTTCTTGTTTCACAAGGAAATTATTGTCAGGGTTTCTGAAACGAGATTAAATATCCATATTTAGTTTGTCCTAACTTTTAAAGTAAGTATCTGGGTTCCAGCCTTTGTGTATTTGGTGTTCACACCCATTCTTCACATCAAGGCTCAGAAAGAAACTGGGGATCAGCCACCTCTGTTTCCTTTTGCACATGGGGTACAGTGGATGGCCTTAGTATGCACTAGCTGCAGATTACAGCACCTTATGCAAAGATGTGTAAGTAGTATCTATTTATTGTAATAAAATCTTAAATCTGCACTTCTGTAGATGAGCAGATGAGCAGAGTATAAAACTGTCACATCCTTTCCAGTGGGATTTACTCTTCATTCTTAATTATTTTTGAAAAATCTTAAATAATTTAACATTCCTGATATTCTCCCAACAGTGTTAAATCTGAGGTAGAAGGTTTTTTGGGGGCTTTTTTTTGTTGTTGTTGTTGTTGTTGTTTCCTAAAAAGGGCTCCATCTTTGCTATCTTTTTAGCAGTCTTAGAAATCCATTTATGATCAATGCATTTTAATAGTTTCTGGTCTCAAGACTGTGTCAGCACTGGAGTGGTTAGCTGTCATTATAAAAACCTACTGCTATTTTCCCTTGGAAACATGCAATTTCTGTTTTTGACATGGAAGTTCTGGTTGAAAAAAAAACATGAAAGATCACTTAAACCAAAGCCAGTTCTAAGGAGTGTTCGCTCCTGTTGGTTTACCTTCACCTCAGAACTACACGAACATTACAGTGCACAGTGAATAATTGTCTAGAACATTCTACCAGGTGTTTCAATAGCATATTGGTCTTGGCATTTCTTGACACTATGGTTCTGTTTTTTGTGTTGTCCTATTGTTTGTGAGTTGTTTGCTTTTTAACTTAGTGGGACTATAAATGTATATAGATGTTTTAGTACCAAGAAGTTTTTTTTCAAATCCCTAAATTTCTGATTTCTATTTAAGTCTTTCAAACCTCAATTTTCTTGCTCAGTAGCAGAGAACTTTTATTTCCACTCCTTTATACCTAAAAAGTATGAGCACTGCGTTTCAGTGGACTGTATTGCGTACTTTTTGCTGAAAACTTTTTCTGTAAACACAATTGCCTTGTTCAGTTTTGTTGTAAACTGACTTTCCATAAGATGCACTGTTGATGCTTCCTGATGTGTGTTGGATAAGAGTGATAAAAATAAAGCTTAAACAGAAAAGAATTGCTTACTTATTTGCTTATTTATATCTTTTGAATGAGATAGTCTTTCATGTGGCCAGGCTGGCTTTGAACTCACTGTGTAACTGAGGGTGACCTTGAACTCCTGATCTTCCTGCCTCTAGTTCCCAAGTGCTAGGGTTACCACTGTCCTGATTATTTCAAATATTTCTAACCTTATAAATATTCAAGTTCAATTAACAGGTAAATATTTTTTGCTTTAATTTTAAAAAGTATTATTTATGTGTATGAGTATAATGGTAGGTGCACCTGTGTTGTTTAGTTCCTGTGGAGGTCGGAAGAGGGCCTCCCCCTGGGACTGGAGTTACCAACAGTTGTTAGCCACCATGTGAGTGCTGGGAGTTGAACTCGGGTCTTCTGCAAGAGCAACCAGTGCTCTTAATTGCTGAGCCATCTCTCTAGCCCCTTTTGCTTTAGTTTTTACTAAAAGCTACCATTAATAATTTTCCCCCTAGCATGCTTGAGGCCCTGGGTTCAATCTATAAAAGATTTTTGCCCATAGTTTTAATTTTTTCTAAAAAATAGATTTTGGGGTCACCAAGCTTGATGACCAGCGTTTGATCTCTGAGACCCACATGGGGGAAGGAGAGAACTAACTCAAAAGTTGTCCTCTAAATGCACACACAAATGTAAACACACACCACTAAATAAATGTAAAAAAGAAAAAAAAATACTTGCTTTGGACATAGTGAACTAAATTGACAAAACTAAAATGTAATTCTTTTGGGAAAATGTCCTTGATATTGTGGAAATAACCTGGTTCAATGAACTTCACAGTTGGAAGATTTGTGTTCTAATCTGGTCTTTTATCAGACTTGATAGCTTTAACCAATCAACTTAATTTTTACGATAGTTGTATGTTTATGCTATGAGGAGCAGATGAGATTGGAAGTGCAACAGTAGTAGTGGGTAGCCATCAGTGATGGTATATCAATTAATTTAGATCATTTTTAATGTTCTGAGGTTCAATATCTCATAAAACTGGGTGATGCTCATACTAGTCTTAAGTGGGACACTGGCATGTTACTTTAATAAATCAATGATCTGAATGATAAATTCAAGGGAAAGTTAGGAGGGGCATCTTAAGGGACTTTTAAGAACTCAGACTAGAGAGTATACATGTTTAAATCAGCAGTTCTCACAGTGGATATTATGATGGAATCAAGCTGAGAGAGCTTTCTATAATGCAGTTGCTGTGCCCTTTTCTAGAGTTTCTGACTAGTTGTTTGTAAGAGCTGAGACTTTGCGTTTCTAACAAGTCACAAAATTCCTGCTGCTTTTCTGGAACCACACTTGGAACTACTAATCTAAATGTGGCGTTGGTTGTAGGGCAGAAAAGCAGAAACATCGTTAAGCCTCCCTTTTCCCCCTGTGATAGTACTATATGAACATTGATTTCTCCCGGATGCCGTAGTAGGTGCTTTTATGCAGGATCTTCCCTGCATTTAATCTTCACGAGCCTGAGTGCAGTGGCAGTACACATCCCTCTTACAGTGGAAATGGATTTTCAGAAGAGCTTCCTAGGGTCTGCACAGAGGATAAGTGAGTTTCTAGCTCCCAAATCATGTTCTTTTTGTGTTATGTTGTATGGTGTACATGTGTGTGCACCTGCATGTCGGTACCCAAGATTATTATCAGGAATCTTCCTTGATCAATCCCACCCCCAACCCCGAGTCTTTGAGGCAAACCTAGAGCTTGCTGATATGGCTAGTCTGGCTGGCCAGCCTGCTCCAGGGATCCTGTACGTACATCTGCCTTCCGTGGCTGGAATTACGTGTGAGCTGGCACATGCCCCAGCGTTTATGTGGGGTCTGGGGATCGCAACTCTGGTCCTCTTGCTTACATAGCAAATGCTCTAACTGCTGAGACATCTTCCCAGCCTGCAAGTTATGCTCTCAACACCACTGCTAGATTCAGCCCCCCATTCCTCCCCATCCATCTTTTCATTTCCTATCAAAACACTTGAGCACTTGAGCTTTGCTTTCCAGAACTCCACTGCTGCCAGTTTTATATGCTCTGGTCTCCTCTCCACACTGCTGTTTACATTTCTTTTTCTTCTTAAGATTTAAATTTTTTATTTATGTGTCTTTGTATATATCTGTGTGTATCTTGGAGCATGTATGTGGGAGTGCCAATAGAGGCCAGAAGAGTGTCAGGTCCCCTGGAGCTGGAGACCACCCATTGTGGATCCTGGGAACTGAACTGGGTCCTGTAAGAACAGCAGGTGCTCTTAATGGGTTACCATCATCCCAACCCCTATTTGAAGTAATTTCTTTTTTCTTTCCTTTCCCCTCCCTCCCTTCTCTTCCCTTCTTTCCTTCCTTCCTTCCTTCCTTCCTCCCTCCCTCCCTCCCTCCCTCCCTCCCTTTCTTTGTTTTTGGTCTTTTTGAGACAAAGTCTCCCTGTAGCCCCACCTGACCTGGAATTACAGACAGTTATTAGTTGCTATGTGGGTGCTGGGAACCAAACCTGGGTCTTCTAGATGAGCAGCCACTGCTCTTAGCCATTGAGCTATCTCTCCAGCCCCCTTTTGAATTTCTTAACAGTAAGCCTGATCATGCTATTCCCTGCTTTAGAATTATTTGAGTTTTCCCATTTGCTTAATCCTCTTAAATTGATAAGATTTTCCACAATCTAGTGTTACCTGCCTTATTGCCTGTTTCTTTCCCTGTTTGCACTTCATGCTTCTGCTGTACAGAACACTGCACTTTTCTGCAAGTTCTTCTTAGTTCCTTACCAAATACCTTTCAGTTTCCTGCTCCCTCCCCTTCTCTGTATGAGAAAATCCTGTTTTTATTTGTTTGTTTGTTTTTATTTTTGTTGTTGTTTTTGAGACGGGGTCTTATGTAGCCCAGACTGGCTTCAAACTCACTATGTAGCCAGGATGACCATGAACTCCTTGTCCTCTTGCCCCCAGAAGAAAAGTGCTAGAATTGTAGATATGCACCACTATGCCAAATTCAATCAAGGATCTTTTGTATTCAAATGATCTGTTGAGCTCTGTAGGACATTAATGTTCTTTAGGCTGCAGTTTGAGAAAAATTAGCTTTTCTTGTAATTTAGCATATACTAACACTTTTTAAAGGATGTGTGTGTGCATGCGTGTGTGTATGTATATATATAGGAACGTATGTGCATAATTATGTGTGTGTTTATGTTTGGGTATGTATGTACATTTCACGTGTGTGTTTATGTGCACATGCATGTGTGTTTTGGGCATGTGCAGGCAGAGTGTGTGTGTGTGTGTGTGTATGTGTGTATCAGGTCTGTAGGAGGCTGGGAAATTAAAGAAGACTCAAGGAGCACAGGCAGATGTGACATACTTTATTCACCACCATGCAAGCAGACATTGGCAGACACTCAGGACACACCAGCACACGCAGGCAGACCAGCACATAGGCCTACAGGCAGACACACACAGGCAGGCTGGCGAAGGCACTTGCCTCTGACCACAGGGCCATATAGTTATACAAATTTACACCAAAGTTATATTTTTTCCATGAATGGTTACATAACAGATTGTATCACAGCTTACCCCTGGCTCCCTGGACATCCCATGACAGCCATCATTAGCTGACTCACTTGGCTCATTCTGAATATCCATATCAGTGCCATGTTATCTAAACTGACCCTTACAGACTACAGTGTATATATGCATGTGTCCATATGTGTGAGTATGCATTTTTGTGCATGTGCATGCAAGTATGTGTTGCATTGTTGCATACATGTGTTTGTGCCTGTGTGCATGAGTGTGTTGACGTGTGCGTGTTTGTGGGCGACTGATAGTGCTTGTGTTTGTGTGTTTGTATGGACATGTATGTGTGTGTACATGTGAAATTGTTTGTGTGTTTTTATGTGTATGTGTCAGTGACTTGCTGGAAAGGATACTCATTTCAGAGCCTGCCTGCACTTAAAAAGTATCTTACTGGGTGTGCGGAGGTGTATGCCTGTAATTGCAGCAGTGGAGAGGCTGCAGTATCATGAGTTTGAGGCCAGCCTGGAGTGAAATATTGTTTCAAAGCCAAAAAAACCCACCTCATATATATGCATTTATGCATATATGTATATATGTACACATATAATTAAAGGTATGTTTGACTTTAAGAGGAAAAAGAACAAATGTGGCCCAAACAATTGTCATAATGGACAAATGTCCTAGTCCTGGTGATCATTTAATAATAAAAAATCTTATTACATAAAATTCTGAGCTAAATAATGCTTAACACATGTTTGGAAATTGTTCCATACAGAATCCCAGCCCACTGTGGTTTATCAGTTGTGCAGTGTGTAAGTCTGGCCCTGTGGTCCTTATTGGATCATTCAGCAAAGCCAGTGGAGTCATTGAAATTGCTCACTAGAAGTTGTTGTTTTTTTGAGGAAATGGAAACACTGAGGATGGATGCTTTACACATCTGGAGTAAATGCTATGTACTGTTATGTCTGTTTTGTGTACAGAGCTTTTCTCTTTGCTAATACATCATTTTAGTTTTACTAGATTAGTCATTTTTTTAGGCCTTAATCATAATTCCAAGAGGGACAATTCTGTTTTTACCACAATACTCAAGGGATCATTTCTACACCCTAAGAAATAAGTCTGTAGCTTTCCTGTATAATCATTTGAGTATTCTGGGTAGTTTGTAAGTTTTCACTCTTTTTTTTTCTTTACATTTGTATTTCTGCGCTTTGTGTGTGCCTTTTCCAGGTGATCATCATCATTCAGATGCCGTCCATATGACAGACACAAGCCGACATCCCCTATGCTGTGTGCTGTACTCATGTCACATACCCAAATACCCACTGGATGTTCCCGCTTGAGTGTCATGATTGTTGTAATCTCATGTGTCCCTAATCCCCTCTGTTATCTCTGTTCCTAGATTGTCAGTAACAGAAAGAAGTGCTGGCTGATATGAGCAGTTAACAAAAGAATCTACCATGAGGAGACTTGAGTTTATGAAGTGTCAGAGCAGCAATGTAGCAGCTCTC